ATGCTTCCCAATACAAACTTTCATCCCCAGAGATTACTCCCTACAACGTCACAAACGCACAAACTTTACCTCTTTATAATATCAGTATAGATTAAACCTACGCTGTCTGTCCTTATACTTATTACTTTTTAAGCTTCATTATATTACTGTTCTTTATCGGACTATCTTCGAGGGTCGGGTCGATTCATAAAAGGCGAAGATATATAACATACATAAAAATATAATATTATTATACATACTTCCGAAGTAAGCATATCTATTTCAGTGTTGTTTTTACTTTTGCTCTATCGATATTATATATCTACAATACATATACGTACGTGAAAGTCTAATAATAAATATTATAAATGACCTAGTGATATAACCTAGACCTTTCCTTTACCAATACTATAAGTACGAAAGTGTGTTTGTTGATTTGTTCTGACGCACTAAGAATGGCTCGGATGATATGACCTTTACAAAAATATATAATTTATAGGCCGACTGGTGATTGAGAGTACACTATCCTTTTATTCCGGTTAAATAATATTTTAATATGATAAATTGGTTGCATTAAGTTACTGAAGTTGAAAGTTAAGTGAACATTGTGTCTCTCGTGAAAAATTCCGTAAAAAGGTTGAGACAATAATATATAATAAAATACATTCAACGAAAATCATTTTAAAGGAGATTTATTTTTTATTTTTTCATTTAAACTAACTAACGCCCGACAATAACTACTAAACAAAATATAAACAAAAAAGTAGATCGGTCAACAAACAGAGGAGAAAAAGTACTGAACTCATTTATCTTTGCCTATTATATATTATAATATATTGCTATTTTATTTCCATAAATATTTATTGCCTGTATTGCCTCAAGAAAATGTAGTCCAAGTACGAATCATACGAGTGTAACAAATATACTCATACCGTAACTATAAAATACTATAATGGTATTATATTACATTGTCCGTACTCACATTATATCTTTATATCTACTGTCTGTCTGTATAAATTGTGGTTCAACGGCTGCATTGAACTGAACACTACAAGTGTGAATTTTAAAAAACTCACCCCTAAATGAAAGACAAGAAATATGGTGAAAATTAATAGAAAAATAAATTATTTGGAAACTTGAATATTAACAATGAAGTAGTAAAAACTATACCATGATAATCCTCTTTAATAAAAATATTTTACGCACTAATCGACTCAAAATGATTGTTTCACTTTTTATTACGTCGAGTGACTTAGGCTATTTATTATTTTCATATAGTTCAATACATCAAATGGTTCCTTTGAAATATTAATAAGTGTTATACGTTTGTAAAACAATATTTTTTTACTGAAAATATAATTATAATAAAAAATATAAATATTTGGATATAAATTACCTATATGGAACCACCATTGAGGTATTTTTTTATCGTTGGGAAATGCATTTACGCATACCACCTGCATTCAAACAGGTGGTTATGTGGGACTCATCGGCTAGAGAAGCCAGTATTACCCACTAAAACCCAAAAATACCTCACCCGTCTTAATGGGATGTCACAGGATCGCTTACGCACTCAACCACGACGCCTCAACGGCTGGTCTACCGAAGCAGACCACAACAACTATGAGTTTACTCCAACAGTCCACTCTGCTATGAAATAAAGAACCAGGAGCAACCCGCATGATACACCGCCCACCGAGGTGGGTCGCCTCCCAGTGCGTTTCATGGCTTCGCGCCCGACTGAAGTACCGGACGCTAATGAGCCCCCCGACCACGACAAGGTGGACGCATATTGGAGGGACCATTGAGATTAGGTATAACCTATTCATAAAAAAAACGCTTAACAACTCGCAAAGATATCGCGTAACATATACACTGGCATATATATCGCGTACATTACCTAATACCTACACAAAATCTAATGCAGCTCAGTATAGTAAATCCTCCTTTTTGATATCGGTCAAAAGGAACCGAGGGAGGAACATTACTAGTTGTTTATTTATCAATAAACCTTTAACTTTTGTTCCTGTATATCGGTCGGTATTTGTGTATTATGTGTATGTTGACTCATTACAACGTACATTTTATTTACTACTTACTTTCAAGTTAAGTACCTAAAACTGCATTTGATACCTAACAGGGTATAAAATTATCAAGATAAATATATCTTTTGATAATTATCAAGATAATTATCAAACAGATATAAACTTAGCAATCCTTGTGTAGGTATTGGTATTTGACTATTTGCCTATCATAATTTACGTTAGAATAAATTATACACTTTTAGCAATCAAGGTTTAATTTTTTATTATTATTTTTTTCCATTATTTTGACATAATATACACAATTTCAATTAATTAAAGTTCTCTGTCCACTACACCGTCTCATACCATGACAGTGATAGGACTTTTTTTTTTTTTTTTAACGTTGGGAAATGCATTTACGCACGACGTGTGGGACTCACCGGCGTAATACAGCCAGTACTACCCACTAAAACCCAACAAAACCTTCCCCCGTCTTAATGGGGCGTCGCAGGATCGCTTACGCATTCAACTACGACGCCCCGACGGCAGGTCTGCCAAAGCAGACCACCACAACCATGGGGTTGCTCCACAGTCCACTCTGCTATCAGAGAAGTACCAGGAGCAACCCGCATGGTACACCGCCCCCCGAAGAGGGCCACCTCCCACCGCCCACCGAAGTGGGCAACCTCCCTGTGCGTTTCTTAGCTTCGCGCCCGGTTAGATTGCCGGGCACTACTGAGCCCCCCCACCACGACAAGGTGAACGCACGTTGGGGGGGATGACAGTGATAGGACTGTGTCAAGCAAAAAAAAATATTCTTTGTATTGATAAATATGAGATTAAGCCCCCTAGACCGTTCCATCACCGACCAAGACCTTTCCGTCACCGACCAACACCGTCGCGTGCCGTGCATGGAAAGTTAACAATAATTATCGGCAATAATATGTTGCCGGTACTAATACGGTCCGTCCTGGCACGCGACGTTGCCGAACCGGTGCACGTGGACGGCGAAACGGTGAGCACACGGGTTATAACTGCGTATGATGACTGTTCTAAGCCCGTTATAAACGTGTTGTCGCTTGTGTTCTAGTGATAATATTTTCTTTTAAAATATTTTTTTTTAAAACGGCGTGAACCTAGTAACGTCGTGATCCAGTGATGTTATTCTCTTTCTTCCTCGTCTAAAACAATGGCTATCATTGTTAATTCTCTGTCGGACAAGTTTCTAATAGCCATCGTATAGGTATAGGAAATAATTTTCGTAACAAAAATATTCACTCGCGGTTTCTGAGACGGCGGCCTCACGCGAAAACACAGGTGAACTACTACGACTGAGAAAACTTGAACTATGTATACAAATATGACACGCGGATGATACGCGGTTGATACGCGAATGATGCTTTCTAGTGGGTGACACGGACTACTATTAGTCCGTGTTGCTTGTTTCCGTGCCTGATACGTTCATAGTACGGTCATGGTATGAGACGGGGTAGTAGGCAGACTCCTTAATGATTGGAATATCATCCTCATCCTCCTCAACTGCATTAACTCAGTTTGCGGATTGAGTTTTTTGAGCTGATTGAGAGAGTTCAGTTAGCTGATCGATAATTTGAAGAGTTACAAATTAAATATTTTCAATTATATTTATCAAAGATAATTATCAACCCATATTTATCATGATAATTATCACGATAATTATCAAAGATAATTATCACTGATTATTATCGTTTCGAACCCTGATACCTAATTAAGTACTTCAACTGTCAATAAAAATTCCTTGTTAGCTGGATAAAGAATAGAAGTTAAAGTTATTGGACAGTTGATTGATTAACACATTATAGCAAGGATGATTAACGTATCAAAGGATTTTTATATTACAAAATGAACGAATTTCTAAAGCATAGGGTTTTATGTAGAAACTAAAAACATTTTATTCGAAAAGTACTATAAGGTCCAAATAATTCACTTCATTATTTTCAAGATTCACGACACATTTACCTTAAATTGTAAATATAACAGTCTACAGTATAAAATATACTGCAGATAAAAATGTATAAGATAGTTATATAACATACACAGAACAAGCCACAGCAAACTCTAGTGATAAATGATTATTTTTTCAACATTAACGATTATGGTGTTCTACCATGGTGGTTGTTTACTACATTATTAAAAAAATTAGCCATAATATAATTGATTTATTTCCCGCCAAAACCGTTAGTGTTTTTTTATAGATTATTTAGAATCAACTATTGCATTACGAAAAAATAACAAGGTTTAATGCATAAAAAATAAAATATAATGAAAGAATGAGAATAATGAGAGATGCTTCTATACCACCTAATAGGCACTTCATAATTCATATTAAGCCGTAGTCGATTACGATCTTTGAAAACAAATAACGTAATGATCTATGTTTTAAATGTATATAAAGAACATATTAAATATTGATACGTACATAGATATGTATGTATCAATATTTAATATATCAGTCAAAAAAGCTCCCATTTTGTTATTAAGTCAGATATAATATTGTAAAAAAATCAATATTTATTCCATACATGGCATCAAGAGGCCGGAGGTGAGTACAGTACACTCATTCATTTTAGCCACATAACTGTTAATTAAACAAACTTAAGAATTAAACACATTATACATTATCAGTATGATGTGACAGGCTGCGCTTGTATATTGAGCCCTCTACGAACGCCCGTAGAACGGCATCACTCTGCTGAGGTACGGAGCAATTACTTAATCTAAGATCATTGATCTCACACACTCCAACGAAGGAAATGCTCACCAAATTAGAGTCGCGAGAACCTCTAGTAATGTTATATAATGAGAAATATTTTTTATTACAAGTTGGAAGCGCAAACATGAACATGATATACATTGACAATGATACCGCGGCACCACAACGGGACGCAAGTATCGTAGAGGCTAATTCTATCTGAGAAGGGTGTATGGGTCGCGAGGCAGCTCGAGCGAGGAACTCACCTTCCTAGGCGGGGGCTGCATGGTGAGTCGGATCGCCGCAGCGACGGCGGCCGAGATGTCTGAGCGCGGAGCGTCGATCAATGGCGACACACGCAAGCGTGACCGTGTTCTGCCGCGTTCGGCCGCTGCACACCCGACTCCCGAGGCGGACCTCGCGCATGCGCTGCCATTCTGCCTCCTTACCAGCCATAGACTTATAGCCACAGACTAAATAATCACCAACTTGGAAAGTACTATTAGGTATATAAATATTATAATATATTCAATATAATGATTGTTAATACTTATTGGCATTCATTTGATTAGAAAATGAGTACCATAGTAAAAAGAAAAATGAGTAACTGGCCCCAAAATTCGAAACGTGTCAAAAATCTTTCGAAAATCTTTTTCTGGAAGAAATTAATATAGGTACTCATATCATTAATTATTTTAATTTTTGTATATTTATGATAAGTATTTTGTCATATAATACAAAGTCGAAAAATAATAAGTAAATAATAAACTTATGCAATCATATAAGGAATACATAATTCTCTTTTATTTCTCCTCTCATAATTATTAATTACTTATCGCTGTTCTGAGGTCATAGTATCTTGATAAATGTGGCTCTCTATACTTAGGATTAAGATAGATGGTGACGTAATTGTTGTGCTATCAACTATTCTTCAGTCGTTAGGGTAATAATAAAGATTTTAGTATAAGGCCTCACTCCGACTTCGCGTGGGTTCTTCCTTAAGTACGTTTTAACGGTTAGTATAGAATAGGGCGGTTGCCATTAGGGAGCGACAGTAGGTTGTGTCGGATGCTGTTACAATCAGTACCAATGGATATATAGTCGTAATTTTACTTTTGTTTTAACTATATTTGATTTGATGCTCATTTTACTTATTGATTTTAAGATTTGATTATCCTGTAAAGAGAATTTTGAGTCGATGTCCACTTACCACGGAAAATTAAATACTTCGAGTGCCGTCAAACCCTTAAGCTTTATTTTTCTTGTAGGTATACGAGTATTATAACAGCCTTGTCTTATATATTATTATTGCTGCTATCGTCCTAATGGCAACCGCACAGTGAGATGCTACTTTCATGTTGCAGCTGTTATTTATTATCTATCAAGATAATAAATATGATGTGTGATAATATATAATGTGCGTGTATGTATCCAGAATTGTACTTCCTGCCGAAGTACTAACAAATATATTTGATTGTGATACTCTAAATAGACCTAATTAATAATAGCGATGATGATTAAAATTGTTTAGTTTAATTTGATTCTTTGTAAAAATCTTTTAAGAAAAATATCATAAAATAAAAAATGCATGTCTCTCTCTTTATCATTTTATAATGATTATAATTAACTAGCGACTCACCCTCACTCCGGTCGGGTTCGTATCTAGTTACGGTTTAATGATTAGTATAGATTTCTCAGAGATGAGATATTTTCCCGCTCTAAAAAGTATCTTATATGTTGACCCGGATAACCAGCTATCATCATACAAAATTTCATCAAAATCTTTCCAGTGGTTATCTCGTGATGCTATCACAGACATATAGACAGACAAAAATTCTATAAATTCTATAATTTAATCTATATTCGGCCTATATATCGACCATAATGACTTTTTGGATAGGATTTTCCGTCCGTCCGTCCGTCAGTCAGAGAGCTGCATCTCATGAACGGTAAAAGGTAGAGAGTTAAAATTCTATTATGAAATAGAGCATGTATGTATTTCTATTTTTATATATAATTTTATATTCGAGAAACATTTTATTTACGTTCGTAATCCATCAACGAAGTTAATATATTATATTACATAAACTAATATTACATATAGTCATTTTAATAAAAAGTACATGGATGATGATACGGAACCCTCCGTGATGTGAATTGGACTCGCACTTGATTTTTATTTATCTTTTGTTAATTTATCACAACTTCAATAACAAACCGATAGCTTTAATTAACTCCATCTAACTAACATTTCCAAAAGAAAACAAATATTTATTATAACTATTTATTCTTCATTCCTTAAAAGACCACATCGCAATATGTACTTTCTTAGATTTTCCCTAATACATATGACATTTTAAATGAAACTATTTTTTCGCGGTTTTATTTTATTTGTTAATAGCAGAACCTGCGGCTTCGCTCGCGCTAAATCTATAAAAAGAAAACAACTAAAAAGGTTGCTTCATACTAACTTTTATCCCCTATTTTACCCCCTTATAGGATGAATTTCGAAAAATGCTTAAATTCGTATTTATTTAATTGTATTGAAGAACATTAATACTGAGTTTCAAGTAATTCTGATCATAAATATTTTTTTAGTTGTATTTTAACGTGTTGTCCCGTCGGAAAAAGATAATCTCTCGCGGTAAAAAGTAGCTTATGTCACTCTGTGGCCCTCCAACTATCTCCACACAAAAAATCACGAAAATCCATCACTCTGTTCTGACGTGAAATAAGGACAGACAAACAAACAAACAAACAAATAAACACACTTTCACATTTATAATATTAAGTATGGATATTGGAACGTTTTGAATGCAAAAGATTAAACATAGTCTCTCCCATATCCATACTTGCTGTATATAAAGTCTCAAAGGTTATACCTATTACAAAACAAAAAACTAAAAAAATTAAAAATATTTAAAAAAAGTAGTTTTATTTAAAACTAGCAGAACCCGCGGCTTCGCTCGAGCTAAAACCACAAAATTTATTAAAAGCTAGTTTCATACAAACTTTCATCCTCTATTTTACCCTTTCATAGGATGAATTTCGAAAAATGCTAAAACACGTTTTTTAGAAGAGCATTAATACCAAGATTCAAGTTATTCTGATCATAAATATTTTTTTGGATTGTAATATAACGTGTTTTCCCGTGGGAATTAGATTATCTCCCGCGGTAAAAAGTAACCTATGTCACTCTCCAGCCCTTCAACTATCCACCCAGAAAATTACGCCAATCCGTCACTCCATTTCGACATGAAAGAAGGATACACAAACAAACAAACAAACATACAAACAAACACACTTTCACATTTATAATATTAGTATGGATTTCCTAAGCTGCACTGTTTTGCTATCACACACGTCACTATGTGTCACTAGATCGCCAAAACGGCACGCTCCAATGAGTTTGATGTAGATTGATATAATAATATACCTAAGTTATTTTGCAAAATTATCCATCGCTAAATTCACTACACTACACCCGGCTACGTAAAACGGGTTTTGTTTACTTACCGATATCAATTTTTTTCTGTGTCCCATACTTTCTTTCATAATAACTTGATTTCTTTAAATCCATTTCACAACTGTACAAAATATAACTTTCATAATAAAGTTTCACACAACTAAGCAAAATATTGATCCATCTTACACATATTAAAATATTACAAGCACGTTGAAATTTTATATATCTATACTCTAAACACTTTCCAACCAACGTTTAACAATTTTTAGTAATTTATAAAGAATGAGTTGATATTGTATCGATAAGTATCTGTAAGTGGCTAGATTATTTGTATCAAAACATAAAACATACAACTGATAAAATTGTGGTACTTTTTACCTATACTATAATAAATCTGTTACTTAGCAATATCTGTACATGAAATATTTTTTAAAAACAGTATTTATTAAAATTTTTGTCCGTATATCTGTTTGTCTGAGCGCTTTTGTGTGTGCGCGTTTCACGCAAAAAGTAATGAACCGACTTCAACGAAATTTGATGAAGTGATAACATAGTACCTACTCGGATCAACATTATAACACACTGGTTCACATAACTGGTTCTATCGAGTCGTCCTTATAAATTTATATGGCTAACGCTGGCTAAACCTTAAGACATTCATGAAAACAATGTACTGAAGAATTGCAACATGGACATTCTTAGATGTCTATAGCTCTTAAAAAAGTCTACAGAAAACTGAAAAGTCCCCAATAGTATAAGTCTATCTCCTAAGGTACAAGGTCGCAATAACTATTTTAATAATAAGTATATTAAAAGGAAATATCGCGACTCACTGACTGATTTATCAACGTTCAGCCCAAGCCGATGGTAATAGACCAGCATCACAAAAAACCAGCTTTATATATCCATACAAATATTAAAAGCGAAGAAACTTTGTCTGTCTGTCCGTCACCTGCATCGGCAGAACCGATTTAGATGAAATTTGGTATGCAAATGTGTAGTTTGATATTCTGAGAGTTACATAGGATAGTTTTGATCCCGGAAAACATAATATGATATAAAAGGGGGAGGTGGAAGATTGACTGGGGATTCAATAATTTCTCAAGTAATGGATATTCAGATGACAGCCATAGAGAGCTATGTGTTCGGTGCAAGAGACGGAGGGGTAACAATGTGCACTTTGAGAGAGGCCATGGTGGAGCGTACAAATGCAATCTTAAGTCTTGTGTCACAATGGGGTGACGACAATCTGAGTTTACATGAGTAAAACTTCGTGAATAGGTATAATAAAGCTGATCAAGCCATTATGTATTAATCCATCCACGGCCGCGGACACACCGGCGTTACAGTTAACAATTGATTTCATTGAAATTTAATTAATTTCTTGGAAATTTACTTAGAGGTGTTAAAAGGAAGTCGAATTATTTCATCCAATATCACGATCTGAATTAGAATTTTTGTCTGTCTGTTACTGCAACACCGAAAAACCACTGGAGGGATTTTGATGAAATTTGATATAATGGTAGCTGGTTATTCGGGTCAACATATATGATACTTTTTATCGCTTGAAAATATCTCATTTGTGAGAAAAAATACAAAAACTGCAATGTAAGAGTAAACTAAACGAAAACCTAAAATTTGGTTTTTGGTCATCTGAACGCGGGTGGAGCCGCGGGCAATGCTAGTATTATATATAACTGTATATTGTAGTTTGTAAAACGATGATGAATGAAGAAAGTTTATTTGAACACAAGAAAGTTCAAAAAATTATAGTTTCGGAACATCCGTTGTAAGTTGAGCTCACATTTACATATTCGTATATGGTCGAGCATTTAGGTTAAGGCTGCAGCCTCAGCGCCTCTACATGAGCCGGGATTATTAAGGCTTACGACTCCTTAATTGCCGAAATAAGGAACGTAAAGAACGCCTGCCGGTGCCTACTTAAGTGTATTCTTTACATATAATAAAATTCTATGCCATTAATTTCTGTACATTAAATATTTTTTGGAAAATCTTATTGAAATAGGCATTATTATCGATACAGAGACTGAATCTATAGTTTTTAGAATTTTTATCTGTCTTTCTGTCTGTCTATCTGTCTGTCTGTTACCGCATCACAGAAAAACCACTGGAGGGATTTTGATGAAATTTGGTATGGTGATAGCTGGTTATCTGGGTCAACATATAGGATACTTTTTACCGCGCGAAAATATCTCATTTCTGAGTAAAAATGCAAAAACTGCAATGTAAGAGTATACTAATTTAAAGCCTTAGAATTTGGTTATTGGTCATCTGAACGCGGGCGGACCCGCGGGCAATGCTAGTATTTATATATTAAAGGAGAAGTCAATTTTTGTACTTGGTGATAAATAATATATTATATATTATCAATTATATATTTTGTTAGTATTGCTTATCTGCTCTATTAAGTGGAAAATCTTTGTTTATACCCTCTTAAGAATAAACACTTAATTTACCTGCTAGTTGCTGCCTTATATTTATGTACTCTGTCGTTCAACATTCATACTATATAATATTATAAATGTGAAACGTGTTTGTTGGTTTGTCCTTCTTTCATGTCGACGGTCATGTCATGTCACAGAGTGACGGATTGGCGTCATTTTTTGTGTGGAATTAGTTGGTGGGCTGGAGAGTGACATAGGCTACTTTTTACCGCAGGAGATTATCTAATTCCTACGGGAAAATACGTTATAACACAACCTAAAAAATATTTATGATAAGAATTACTTGAAACTTCGTACTAATGCTCTCCAATAAATACTACTCCATACAATACTTGAAACTTGGTATAATTAATGCTCTTCAATAAAATTAAATAAATACGTGTTTCAGCATTTTTCGAAATTCATCCTATAAGAGAGTAAAATAGGGGATGAAAGTTTATATGAAATACCTTTTTAGAGATTTTTTTGTAGTTTTATAAAGGAAAACTTCACCAACCATCTAACAATAGTTAAATGTACGGAATGTGTGTATGGAATCAAACAGGTCTATCTATAGTTCATCAGTAACAAAAATGAATAGTATACCAAATAAAATCTAGCTACCTATCTTCGAGTATCTCAATTTAAGCTTTGAGCTTTGTTTTGAAAATTGTAGATAAAGAAAATGTAGTGAAAGGATGAAGAGACACGATAAAGAAGTTTAACTTGTTCTAAAATAATTATAAAGGAAAAAGTAAAATAATTAATATGCTGTAATTGCTGTCCCAGACGTAGACAGAATGAATGTTCATTGTGAAAACTCATTATAGTGACTTAAGCAGATGCCAGACGCTGTATGCCGCACCCGCCGTCACCCTGACGCGTAAACGTCTCATCTTTTTTCAAATATACCGAAAGAAACAAGAAACTACCGCGTTTAGACCTTTCCATTGAGACGCAACGTGGAGCGTCAGCTGACACTAAACGCTACAATAAGCATTCTGCAACACAGACTTCGACCTTACTCATAAAGATAAAATGTAAACATATGTCCAAGATTGAATGAAAGCTCTTTGAGGATCATCTCATGCCGCTATTCTTATATAAAACTGTAAAAGAAATTTTGACTTTCTTTAACGATTGTCACTACACAGTGAATTAATTATTATTATTTTTTTTGATGAATAGACTTATTAGAAAATTTTCAACCCCATTAATGTTATAAATGCGAAAGTTTGGATGGATGGATGTTTGTTACTCAATCACGCCAGGACGACTAAACGGATCTGGATGAAATTTGACACAGAGATAGATTATAGTCTGGAATAGCACATAGGTTAGTTATTATCCCGGAAAAATGTATGGTTCCCGTGGGATAGATTTGTTTTTGTTTTTCACTAGGGTCGAATCCGAGGCATTGCGAGGGTAAGTCGCTAGTATAACATCTCTCCAACTCTTATCTGTTTATTTTTGTTGTACGAGTATATTTATGATTTACAATTAAATTTGAACACCCATCGTACTGTGGGATATTATTACACGTCACCATCTCAAATAATTAAATAAATGAAATTAATTCAGTTTTTGTGCACGGACCGGAACGTCCATATCAATGTATGTAATTAAAATAGAAAACGTGAAAAATATAAGTATTGCAACGTTTCTCGTTATTTGGTGTATTACGAAAATAAACATAGTTTTAATTGGAGATAAAACATATTGTGTGATAACAATAATTAATTGTAACATAATAATAACAGATATTAGTAACTACTGTTTACGTGTATCAACCTTTGCCCCTAGTATAAGTTTGACAAGTACATGAGACTAAGAGCGACGTACTCGTACTACTTACTGCCTTTCTATTCACATGTCATTGACGTGTCAAGTTTGTGAAACTTATTTATTCCTAACTAGATAGGTTTACTTGCTTCGAATAAACGTACTTTATAATAAAACAACTGGCAACTCTAAGAATGGTACGAGTATATAATAAAATTTAAAAATATGTTACATGATACGATGTTCATCAGAATGCAAATTATTTCCTGGGCGACTTTAGGTTTTCTACCAATATTCAAGTAAGTAATAAAGCATAGTGCCTATTATTGCATTTTGATGTAGAGACTGCATGTCAGTGAAAGTTTTTCAATAAAATCGCACCTGCGCTGTAGCTTCCTTGACAAGTAGGAAATGCCCGTTTTGTATTATTTATTGGTTTATTTTCATGATTTCGGTTGGCAGTTGCCATATGTAGATACATTATAGACAAAATTAAATTGCCTTAATATATTATATTGATATAACTAATCATATTTATGATATCAAAGCCCAAACAACCAATAATAAAGGTTTGTCCGTCTGTTTGTACGCGTCTTTGTTTTTATCTTTCACTGTCATTTGGAGAATTTTCAAAATTCGTTCGTTCTTCGAAACTTTCAAAATTGAAGTAATGGAGATGTAAATAAAAAGTTAAAAATATTTGATCTAAAAAATTTATTTAATGAATGAGGCGACTATGTGCACATTGAAAACACTTGTTATTTTACAAGACCACTTGTACACTATTTACAACACCCGCGTTACACTGCTTCCCTTCTAGGCGCTTTTGCCACATAGTATCATCCGCTTAA